TTTGCAGAGACAGAGTTGACAGCAAGTTCTGGTGGATGGTCACAAGCACTTGTCTCAGAAAAAAAATCATATATCTATACCTGAAAGTTAGGTTAAAGTACATAGATATATTTTTTTTTGAGACAAGTTCCTGTGTTGATGATGAATAAATGACAGGGAATTCAACCTCACCGTAATAATTGTTGTATTGTAGTGATATAATCATTTGTTATCACAGTATGCTCTGGTTTGTTGTTATATATTATATTAATATTTGTATAATAGTTTTATATATATATATAGCAGATCATCTTAATAACTCTACATGCAAATTTTCGTCCATTTATATATCATTCTATTCTGCTATTCTAATGATAGTGCAGTGCTTCTGCTTCTGCCAGATAATGGCCACGATCAACGAACTGATTATACTGCCATGGTTTGGTGCGCATATTAGACCACCTCCTCCCCCCAAAATTTTAAAATTTTAATTCAGTTTTGTCATCGAGGCTTTAAAGGCCTCGACTGACGGTGCTGATACGACCACAGGAGGAAGAGCGTTCCAATCCCGGATGGTTCTTGGGAAGAATTAGTGTTTGCGGTAATCACAGGATGCTGATGGTACTTGGAAGGATTTATCATGCATGTTTCGTGTCAGTCTTTTCGGTGGTATTAGACGACCTTCCTTTGACATGGCCACTTTGTTGTTTTCTATTTTGTATAGCATTGTGAGTCTCGCTTCTTTCCTTCTTTGTTCTAGGGATGTCCATTTGAGATGTTGTAGCATCATGTTAACGCTGGAGTAGTTATGATGTTTGTTAGATACGTAGCGAGCTCCTCTTCTTTGTACCATCTCAAGTCTGTCAGTCTCTATCTTAAGGTATGGATCCCATACTGGACTGGCATATTCTACAATTGGACGTACCAATGTTTTGTAGGCATTCTCCTTCACTGTAGTTGATCCTATATTTAAATTTCTTTTTAGAAAACCAATTGTTCGATTTGCCTTATTACATATGTTATTTACGTGATCATTCCATCTGAGTTCGGATGTAAATGTGCAGCCTAAGTATTTTGCACTGCTGACTGACTCAAGAACATGATCATGTAGGCTGTATGAAGTTCCAATTGTGTTGTTTTTCCTGCTGATGATGAGTACATTGCATTTGTCAGGGTGGAATGACATTTTCCATTTTGATTTCCATATTCCAAGTTTGTCCAGATCTAGTTGTAAGTCATGCGAATCTTTGTCTGATGATATCGTAAGGTAAGCTATTGTATCATCTGCAAATAGTCGGACTGTAGATTTAATTCCATCGGGCATGTCGTTAAATTAAATGTAGAACAGGAATAGTGAGAACCCAAGTACTGAGCCTTGGGGTACTCCTGACTCTACATCAATATGAGATGAACTTTCTCCATCCACGACTACTGCTTGGGTTCGATTAGACAGAAAGCTAGCGATCCACTTGTTGACATTTCCTTGGATACCATAGTGTTCCAGTTTATGCATCAGGAGACTGTGACTGACCTTATCAAAGGCTTTCGAAAAGTCCATAATGAGTACATCTGTTTGCTTTCCTGCGCTCATGTTGTTGGTGATGTCATCCACAAATTCAATCAACTGGGTTTCGCATGATCTTTTGCTACGAAATCCGTGTTGTAATGGATATAGAATGTTGTGGAGATCTGCATGTTTCAAAATATAACTAGTTATTATGTGTTCCATGAGTTTACCGGCGATGCATGTCAGATATTGGTCGATAATTCTCTGCCTTGTATCTCTCTCCTTTCTTGAAGACTGGGCTTACGTGAGCGTTCTTCCAGTCAGATGGTACTTTCCCAAATTTTAGTGATGTTGTAAAGATGATAGTTAGAATTGGGGTTATCTCGATTGCAAGTTCTTTGAGTATTCTTGGTTTTAGATTGTCTTGTCCTGATGCTTTATTTGGATTTATTTTTGTTAGAACTTTCAGCACTCCATTTTCTGTGATGATAAATCTTCAGCAGAAGGGTATTGACCTGGCATATTACAACGAGATTTGAATTCATCTGGACTATATATTTCCTTTGAAGAGAATGCAGATTGAAACTGTTTATTCAGGATAGTTGTTTGGTCTACAGGATGGGAGTGTAGTACTCCATCACTAAGTAGTGGTGCCACGCCGCTGCTATCAGTCTTTATATGTTTAATATATAAAAATTAAAATTGAGAATGGAAATGGGGAATGTGTCAAAGAGACAACAACCCGACCATAGAACAGACAACAGCAGAAGGTCACCAACAGGTCTTCAATGCAGCGAGAAATTCCCGCACCCGGAGGCGTCCTTCAGCTGGCCCCTAAACAAATATATATACTAGTTCAGTGATAATGAACGCCATACTAAACTCCAAATTGTACACAAGAAACTAAAATTAAAAATAATACAAGACTGACAAAGGCTAGAGGCTCCTGACTTGGGACAGGCGCAAAAATGCGGCGGGGTTAAACATGTTTATGAGATCTCAACCCTCCCCCTATACCTCTAGCCAATGTAGAAAAGTAAACGCATAACAATACGCACATTAAAATTCAGTTCAAGAGAAGTCCGAGTCTGATGTCAGAAGATGTAACCAAAGAAAATAAACAAAATGACAATAATACATAAATAACAACAGACTACTAGCAGTTAACTGACATGCCAGCTCCAGACTTCAATTAAACTGATTGAAAGATTATGTCTTCATCATATGAATATCAGGCACAATCCTTCCCTTTAGGGGTTTAGTATCATACCATCATAACATATATGAGAAGAACATAACCCGTGTCATGCCAACAACTGGTTTTTAAATAAATGTGTTTAGTGCCGATGCAAAGACCCTATAAGTGAATCAATATTAACGCCAAAATATGCAATGTCCAGAATCGTTTCATATTGCTGTGTTGTTGGGTTTCTTCTTTAGTTGTTACTATATGTTCGATGTATTTCCAATATGCACGACGTAGTTCTTTCTGTACTTTTTGCTTTACTTCTTTGAATTTTGATGTAATATGAGGATCCGCTGACTTTTTCTTTCTTTTGTATAATCTGTCACGGCGGCGTATCAATTTACGTACATTTGGTGTCAGCCAAGGGAGGTTATCTTTCTGTTTTGCTATCTTGTGCGGGATATTGTTTGTTACACTTTAGTTGAGCTTGGTTTTGAACAATAACCAGTGTTCCTCTGCTGAGCTTCCATGGAAAATGGAAGCTCAGCAGAGGAACACTGGTTATTGTTCAGCTAGATTTTTGATCTTTTCATGTGTTTGGATCATTTCCTCTTCGATGGTTTCCCAAGTTTGCTTTATGTATAAGGGGATGTTCCGAGGTTTTTGTTTCCTAGATAAGGGCTTGGTGTCTATTTCGCTGAAGACGATGTCGTGGTCTGAAACCCCAGGTATCACTTTGGTGCGTGTGAAGCGTGTTGGATTGTTTGTAATCACCAGGTCTAGCGTGTTAGGGCCTCTTGTTGGTTCCTCCGCTAGTTGAACAAGTCCATTGTCGTCAAGAATGTCGCCAAAATTGTAGTGGTTTTTCTGACATGTTGACTCTGGTTTCAGGGTTCTTGTTATCCAGTTACAGCCTGGGAGATTGAAGTCGCCACCAACTACTATGAAGGCATTTTTTGTAGCATTTACTCTTTCAAGACTTCGCCCAAGTTCTTCAAGGCTTTCTTCATTTGATGTTTTGGGGTTATAGTAGGATGCAAGATACAAGTCTTTCTAACCAGCTAAGCTGATTTTAGCCCAAACAATCTCGCAATTTGTTTGTAGCTCGGGTACAGGTGTGCTTAGATGGTCATGATTTATTGCTATTAGCACCCCGCCTCCTTTCATGTCAAGTTGCGGTCATTTCTGTAGATGTTGTAATTTGGTGGAAAAATCTGGTTATCTTTTACAGAAGAATCCATCCAGGTTTCTGTTCCTAGGACAATATCTGGTTTAGTGCTTTCAACCAAGTTCTTAACTAATCATTGCTTTGATTTGATGGACTGAAAATTTACTGTAAGCATCTTGATAGGTACGCTTTTTAGTCTTTTATCCTGCTTCTTTCTGTCTGGTGTTGATGAGTGGATAGGTTTGATACAGTCAGATGGAAGTGGACTCTGGAGAGATGTATTAGATAGAATACTAAAAGAATTTGAGGGGGATAATACTATACAGTGCAAGTGCATGGTGGACACTCTTCTGTAATAATTCGTTTTTCTAATAGATTGGATTTGAGTAGGCATTCATATTTTCCCGCTTTTGTTGCAAAACGTTCTCGAGATATTCTTCCGCATGCTTTACAGCTCTTTTCATAATGCTAGCAAGACAAAGGTTTGTTTGACTTGCTTGCTTTGTTTGTATAATGAATGTTTGCTCAAGCATTGTAATTAAGATTGACATCTGCAAACAATATAAGTAGGCGGAGTTAAACCTGTGTATAGGTAAATTTGATTATTTGATAATGTCCAATCAAATTTAAATATAATGTATACAAGTTTAAATCCGCCTTTTTAATAATAAATTACATTATATGTTGTTTCCAGATGTCAATCTTAATTACAATGCTTGGGCAAACATTGATACAAACAAAGCAAGCAAGCCAAACAAACCTTTGTCTTTCTAGCATTATGAAAAGAGCTGTAACACAAATTTTCGGTATTCATGATTTGTTATTGATATATATATTTCTCACGACAAAACATTTTCATATCATTTATCAAGGATTTGTATAGTGATCACTATACAAATCCTTGCATTTATCTATGTTCTTAAAAATTATTTTCATGAATATTTATCGATGAAATTAATATATAACAAGCGATAAGGAATGTTATTTTGCACTCGATAATTTCCGCGAAAATTATACGAAATACGTCGGTTATCAGTCACAAGCGCAAGGAAATTTCTACGACAACATAACACCGGTATGACCTCTCAAGGTCACATCCGATGTAAAAATAGTCTTACATATCCGTCATTGCAAACCGAAATCGCGTTCGACATTACAATCACTTCCAAACTTCCGGTTTGTAATTTCAACAGGGTATGTCGAAATTTTGCTTAAATTTTATTCAAGCAGACATTTAGCATGCACAATTTTCTTAAGAAGGGTATACAATAATATTAAGTCAACTATTTCACATACACAGAAGTTCCCATCCCTATTTTTCTAAAGGAGGAAAGCCCACAGATGTAAAAACGCATATTTTGTTACTGTTAGTCTAACGCCAGTAACGGTAAACACATTTTGACCCAAACAGGGATGGTTCTTTGAGCTTTATTTCAGTAACTGCGAACATGCTTTATATGGTATGATATTCTTCTTATCCTTTTTTCTTGTGTTTAATGTTATCTACATGTATTTAATAATTTTCAAGTTTTCATAGAGCTAGGACATGTAGGAGCTGTACTGAATAATTTGTTATTGTATGTTGTTGGGTATCAGGTCAATCCGTTCTCAAACCAATCTGGCCCCAAGTCGTCCGCCCTGAGGTGGACCCGGCCACATACCAAAATAATAAATATGTGATATGAAACTTAAGTCAGAGAGTTTTGTGAAGTATTTGATTCAGGTTAAGTTTCACGTGGACCCTTTGGCTAAAATGGCTGTGTTTTCACCTCAAAATTTACTCTGAGTACAGACAAACCTGGATATCTGGAAAAGTTTTAAGGCATAGCATGCCCTAGATAAATAAAATTCAAATGCATTTTATGTTTAAGAAAATTAAAAACTTAACTGGATGTTGCAGTACACTTTTTTTCATTCCTACAATAGGTGCCAAAAATAAAAGTTGGGGAAAGAGGTTTGAGAACTTCCCCACAGGTAAATATTAAAGTGAACTGTATTGATTGACAGGGACAATAATTGGAAATTTAAACCGTGTCACTGAGTGGACCATATCATTTGACATGTTTGAGAGTCAACTGTTTGTTAATTTTATAATCTTCTGAGAGGACGAAAAAAAGTGCACAGCAAAATCCAGTTAAGTTTTTAATTTTCTAAAACATTAAATACATTTGATTTTTATTTACCTAAAGCATGCTACATGTATGCATTAAAACTTTTCCAGATGCACAGGTGTGTCTGTACTCAGAGTAAATTTTGATGTGAAAACGCAGCCATTTTAGCAAAAGGGTCCAAATGAACTGTAAGTGGAAATTTGCTCATGAAAAAGTTGTGTAAATTTTGCTGATCTGAGGATTATTTATTGGCACTGGCTATGATTACCCACAAAAAGTAACACTAAGAAATAACTATTGTTACTTCGAGACTAATTGCGGAATTGTGTCTCCGGACAGGGACCCAATTTCATACGGAAATTGCAGGTAACAATAATATCATTTTTTGTATTGTTACCTGTAAAATCTTTACATTTGCAAATTATGTCCTTTTTTGTGTGTACATGTACATATGTAGCATCAGGCATTTTTGTACTGTCTTTTGTTTAACATATTTGAACAAATTTATATGAATAGAGTCAATAGAAAATTATTTATTGAACATAGCAATGATAATTTGAAAGCACATTTATGCATATTTAAAATTCTTTTAGATATTTATTTTGGTGGCACTTCCTGCACATCCAGTATGTATCCTTAGGTGGCATTTTGATGCCAACACATTTTATAGCTGGTACCACTCTAACACCAGTTGTTATCTATAGATCCATATCTATGTACGTCTATACTGCACACTAAATAGTTCCATTCTGAATACACCAATCTCGAGTTGTGTTAATGAATGAATAAATTACACTGGTTAACATGGCTAACCCGAGGTCAATCGGTGTAAACGAAGTCATCAAACAATCTGTTCTTACTGTGATGTAATGGCAGAAGCATTGCGACATTTACCGGAAAGTGCATGAATTTAGATAGTTGTCTATAGTGAGTTGTTTTAATCGAACCCGTTTGGCAAAAGTGGACGTCATATTGGACAATACATCTGAAATTTTGGTTATGTTAATGGTTTTTACACCATAATTTCATTTTTTAAATTTATTTCACAGAATGCTGGCAATTCAAACATTTTTAGATCAGCGCCTGTCTAAATATATTTTTTCGGTTAACAATTAACTGCAGGTAACAATAAAAATTATATTTTTGTTACCTGCAATTTCCATATGAAGTCGGGTCCCTATCCTGAAATACGTTTTGACAATTATTCTCAGAAGTAACAATAATTATTTCTTATTTTTAATTTTTTGCGGGTAATCATAGCCAGTGCCATATTTATTTGGAAACAGTAATGATGATCAATGGCAACAGGTAGCTAACTTTTTAAGAAAAGGAAAAATCAAACAATATTTCTGAATTTGAGTAGTTTTTGTCTCGCCTGTGACTGTGAGACATATGATAGGTGTTGCTTTGACAGATGGGCATTGCCGGGGATGTCGTCATCATCGGCGGCGGCAACAATTTTTAATACTGAATTTTCTGCTTAATTAAGTTTGATAGGAACTACTTGTGATAGATCAATGACATTTTGTAGAAAGTTGCAATACTATCATTAAATATCATTTTGACTACAATTTTGAGGCTCTTCCCCCCTAGCTCATGGTCCAGTGAGTGAGTGACTTTGAATTGATTAGCAATTTTCAATGTAAAGTTTTCTGCTTAAGTCAGTTTGATAGGAGCTACTTGTGATAGATCAATCATATTTTCTATAAAGTGGCATTACTATCAGTACATACATGTATCAGTTTGACTACTATTTCAAGTCCATGTCACCTAGGTCATGGTCCTGCAATTTTGAATTAATTAGCAGTGTTGCTGGCAATCCGATTGTCTTTTTATGAAATTTCTGCCAACAGGTGAGACATATCTCTGTCAACAGTTTATTTTAACTTTTAAAGACAAAAGTTTGTGTGCATTAACCAACTGTAACCAATGTTATTACACCAGTTGAAAAGATTATTTAGATCAAAGTCATTTGAAAAATTGCTGATTGATTTTGATTATAATAATGATTGCACCAACTTCTGTATTATACGATTTTATTATAATTATGCATAGCCAATATTCTTGATATAGAACTAATATCTTAATCAACATAAAGGCTATACAGTATACACTGCATAATCATCCCTACACATTAAAGGTGATAAAATGATTTTAATATACATATTTTACATTATAAAATAATATATTTCAATATGAAATCTTAATATAAATATTTAAAATATTATAAACAATATTCCAATAAATGTCTCCTCTAACCATTCTAATGGAAATTATACCGGTATATTTTGATATGCATCAAAGGCACAATTTTTTATTTCGTCTACCTTTGCTATTTTTCATCATGTTCTTAAAATTTATTAATATTTATGAACTACATGTCAAATCTGTATAATTTTTATCCCTTGTAAATATTTTTTGAAATTGGGACCGGGATCGACTTGGAACGACTTGGGGCTGGATCAACATAGAAGCATTTGCATGTACATGTACATGTATCATGTATCTTTGTTAGTCCAACGATAAAGATTGAAATAGAGAGGATATTGAAAAACTTGTTTATCCACATCAATTGACCAGGTGTCTGCCCTGAGTTAGGACAGCAGGGGTTAAAAAAAATTGTTACAACTCACTAGCCCAGGACTTATTGGTAGCAGGATTTTACTAGCCTCACTGGACACAATTATGAACGATTTTTAAACTGTGATTAATATTTTTTTTATGTAGACTACTTTTCTTGAATTGTTTATACCATAGAATTTAAGATGTATGAAGGCTTTCCGTTTTGCATCATATCCCACATAATTTTCTATTCACGTTAGGATACTTTAGTAAGATTTGCGAGACCTCGTTTTATTGGTCAAGTGAGCCACATATGGACGCAATTCCAAACAACACTTTATTACTATATCTTGCAGAAGAAATCAATGACAACAGTCTAGATTGATAAAACATACATTTATCTTAATCTCAAACACATTTCCAGAGAAAAATAAAATGCACAAGTTTGTATTTTAGGTCAATTACTTCAGCAGTGGTTGCAGACGAAATGTCTGTCATGTGTAAGGGAAAGATTTTGGAATTGGTTTGTTTTTTATGTAAGTTCCTCCTTTTAAGGAGCACTAAATTCAAGTTTCTCCATTTCGGTGGTGAACCTATCATTCATCTATGATTTTTTTTTACAGGTCAACATTATTTTCGGAGTTCTCTGGACTTTTCAATAAAGTTAATATATTATCTTTTGACCATAAATAGGGTCACAAGAGTCTAAAAAACGTCAGTTGTGGGGTTATTTGGGCAAGGGGATTTTCCACTTACTATTTTGGAAATGCCAAGAATTGTTTGTTACTAGTCCGTCGGGCATATTCGGTTACAAGTTTTAATTGCCCGAAGTGAAAAAGTCTAGTCCTGGGCGTAGGGCTAGTGGATTTTTTAACCCCTGGACAGTAGTTATTTTTTTGTGTCATATCTAAACATTATACATGTAGCTAGCCTGCTGTTCGGTGTGAGCCAAGGCTCCGTGTTGAAGACCATACTTTGATACCTGTTACCTGATCTTTATTTTCACCAAACAAACCTGCAAAACTGACTTCAACAACAACTTTGAAATTAACAACAAATCTGCTATACTGAAATAAGCAATAAATCTGATATACAAAAGTCACAAACAAACCTGCTGTAATGAAATTAACAAAACATCTGCTATACTGAAATTAACAAACAAACCTTCTATACTGAAATCAACAACAACTTTGTATATTGAAATTAACAACAAATCAAGTTATACTGAAATTAACAACAAATCTTATACATGTATACTGAAATTAACGACAAATCTTATACATGTATACTGAAATTTACAAAATAAATTTTGACTTATTGTATACATGGGTAAATCTATTGAAATGATTATTGAAGACAGTATGTTTACCTCTAGTTGTCTTTTTGTTGTTTATGTGTCGTAAATGATAAAATCTATTGATATCTAATACATGTATGTAGGAAGAAAATATTTTCATAAAGGGATCAACATTGTTTGTTTATATAATTAGCAACCTTTCCAAATCCAGAAATCCTTTAGAATAGTCTATTAACCCTGTAATTAGGGATCCATTTTTTTAGTTGTCTCTCTTAGTCCTGACATACATTTTCATTGACTTTTGAGAGCTAGCAGAAAGAGCCGATTTATCTGTGCGTATTGTGTGTAACCTTTAAATTTTTCAAATCTTTTACTTAACATTTAATTTTTTGTTAAGCTAAAAAACTAGAATATTAACATGTTCATTTATATGTTTTTGAGTTTAGTGTGATGCCCATTTTCATTGAACTAGTACTTATTGTTCAGGGGCCAGCTGAATCCTGCCTCCGGGTGCGGGATTTTCTCGCTGTATTGAAGACCCATTGGTGGCCTTCATATGTTTTCTGCACTTTGGTCGGGTTGTTGTCTCTTTGACACATTCCCCATTTCCATTCTCAATTTTATGTATTCATACATATATGCCACATTTTTCACCTGTGTAATTTTTATAAATAACTAATACATATTTTTATTTTATTTTCAGATTAATTAAGTCATGGAGGATTTAAGGATTTGTTAACACTTTATTCTAATATACATTTAGTAAAACACTATTGAAAATATCACTGACAATGAATGCAAAGTATAGTCGTCTACCGAGTTCTGATCCTTTGGAAGAAGTTAAACTTGATTTTGGATCTGCGTTTTCTTACAGTAATAATCAAATGTCTGACAACTATGGTCTGGCACCAACAGGAGAATATAAATCAGCATTTACCTATAAAGATTGGACACCACAAAATAAAACTGATATTAGATATGTAAAAGGTACAAATAGTTTAAAGAATACAAGTATCAGTATTCAGTAATTATGTCTCAGCTGAGTCAGCAGTGTTTGTAAGGCAATCATACATATCTAAAACACATTTAATTGTTTATATTCACTCTATATATTCATAAAACATTTGGTCAACAAACCATGGTAGAGGGCATAGTTATAGTCTTCATCTGAAGTCCCTATTAAATCTGTTTCCAGATAGATTTCATACCAGGTAAGATTGATGGCCATGATGATGTGCACTTGATTATACTATAAAGAATTTTAATTTACATTTTTGATGGAGTTATAGGCTTTAGCCAATAGTAGCATAAAGACATTCGGTGTATGCTAATCCATTGAAATTTTTTCCTTAAAGCTTTCGTTTTCTGTAGAATTGTTTTTAATCATGACTGTGTAGTTGACAAGACTAAAGATTTACTTCCATTTTGATTTGACAATTTTTCAAGTTGAAATGAAGTGTCAATTTTTGCCTATTGAAGCATAATCACACCTTGGAAAGGCTACTCCTCTGTAAAAATATGTACAAAAACTTTCATACTTTGTAGGATTTTTATCATATTGTGTAGTTGACCATATCATTTGGACTTTTTTAGTTTTAAGAATTTTATATGAATTGTCAAGACTTTCACTATTTTGGCCTACTGTAAAATAATAAAATTGTAACATCTTTTTTATTTCTCCTTACTCCTGAAATTGCCCGACAGTTTGTATGTCATTCAATGTAATTTCCTCTAACCCCTGAAATTGTCAGACTATTTAGTAAGCCTGCATTGGAATTTCCTGTTACCCCTGAAACTAACAGACAATTTAGATATAACCAGTGGAATTTCCTCTAAACCCTGAAAAGTCAGACTATTAGGATATCACTCAGTGAAGTTTTCTCTAACCCCTGAAAAAGTCAGACTATTAGGATATCACTCAGTGAAATTTTCTCTAACCCCTGAAAAAGTCAGACTATTAGGATATCACTCAGTGAAATTTCCTCTAACCCCTGAAAAGTCAGACTATTAGGATATCACTCAGTGAAATTTCCTCTAACCCCTGAAAAGTCAGACTATTAGGATATCACTCAGTGAAATTTCCTCTAACCCCTGAAAAAGTCAGACTATTTGGATATCACTCCGTGGAATTTCCCCTTACCCCTTGAATTGTCAGACGATCTGCATATCACTCAATGTAATTTCCCCTAACCCCTGAAATTATAAGACCATTTGGAGATCACTCAGGGCTGTTCCATAAAAACATAATGGGACCCAGGGAAGGCACTTCCAAATCTCAACTATGGGTGGGTGTCATCTATGTTTTTGCATAGTGGAAATGTAAGAGAAATTCTAATTTGCCTCTATAGGTGGTTACCCCATTTTTACAGTGTCTTCCCTGGGTACCATGTATGTTTTAATGGAACAGCCCTAAGTGTAATTTCCCCTAACTCCTGAAATTGTCAGACAATTTAGAAATCACTCAACTAAATTTCCCCACATTTCACAATCTTGTTAAACAAAATGTTAGATTTATTTGCTTGTTGATTTCAGTAAAGCAGATTGTTTGTTGACTAATTTCAATAACGTAGAGCATGTTTTATTTTCAGTAAGTTAGTTGTTTACAGTAATGCAAAGTTATTCGTATGAGTTCACAAATTTGTTTTGTTAATTTCTGTAAATCAGATTTACTTTTATTAATTTCAGTATAGCATATTTGTTTTGATAATTTCAGTAATGTAGAGTTATATTAAATGAACATCAGTTAAGCAGATTTGTTTTGTTATTTACAGTAAAACCAAGTTGTTTTTCTCAGACATGTCATTGGATATTAACTGGCCTGGCGATAATCCTTGTCATATTAACCTGTCCTGTGTCATTATGGTTTTGTATCAAGGTAAGTCCTACTCATAAATTATTCTCCAGTTTAATTAGTTTTGTGAAAGACCAATATTGTATAAAAATAGAGATGTGGTATGATTGCCAATGAGACAACTATCCATCAATGTTCAAATGAAGTGAATGTAAGCAACAATAGGCAACAGTACAGCCGTTAACAAAGAGAAAAACCCATACCGTATAGTCAGCTATAAAAGGCCCAACAAAAAAAATGTGAAACAATTCAATTGAGAAAACTATCTTATAACAAAACCATTTACAAAAAAAACAAATATGACAGACATGAACCAATGACAACCACTGAACTACAGGCTCCTGACTTGGGAAAGGCACATTAATATTTGTAATAGTCCTTAAATTTAGTTATAATGCTTGAAAAGTGAAAAATACTTTAACTGGTTGCATATTTGACTTCTTGTGTTAGAAAATTTAATTTGAAAAAAGACAAGAATCAGGGATTATTGATTTTATTTGATTTTGGAATGTAGGTACATGTAGTTGACCTATAAATTAGTCCTTAAGGATAATGCTGATTCATGTTTTGGTACAGAAACTGCATACTAATTTTTTAATAGTTTGAATAAAACTGTAGAAGATCATTAATCTGACTACTTTTATTTTCCAAATCGGTAAATGGTTTTCCTTAAATATATATTTTTTTTCAGAAAGTATCACATTATGAAAGAATTGTTATTTTTAGACTTGGAAGGATGCGTCCTGTGAAACAACAAGGTATGAATTATAGAAAACAATGATATTAGTATCAATTGAAAATTTTGGGACATTTATTGTAACCCGTACTCTATGATGTTTGCTGTTCCAATTTATTTCCAAACATGACATTACAGTATTTAACTGGAATCAAAAGACAGGCTTTATTTTAATTTTTTTTTAAATGGCAATTTCATACCTGACAGCTGTTACATGAAATGTAAAACTTTTTACAAGGATTTACATATTTTGAAACTCCTAAAAAAACTGGTTAGATTAAGATTATAATAACATATTATTTGCTGTTGAAGAACACAGATAAAATAACAAGTACTTTGGATTCATTTATTCAAATTTTATGATTTTTATGGATTGCCGAAAATTGTATTTTTCCTTGATATTGTATCAAAACGTATGTTGAGAACCCCTCATGCACAAAACATATGAAAAACATGAAATTCATATGTTTTTCATATGATATATAAAACATATGAAAAACATATGTTGCAATTATTCCTGTGTACATTTGGCGTTTGAAATCAAGGTTTACCTATATCCATTCAATCCATGAAAATTGGTATCCCATAAATAAAAGGTGAATCCACAGATAAGTAATATTAAGTAACTGTTTTTTTTCGTTTTAGGTATAGTGTTTATTTTACCATGTGTAGACAAAATAGAAAGAGTAGATTTACGCATCAAAGCCTTTAATGTTCCACCACAGCATGTAAGTTCTGACTATAGTTAAACCATGTACAAATGTATGGACAAAAGGAAATAAGTCAGTCTTCATAAAAGAACTTTGAATGTCCAGCCACATGAGTATGACTACATTTGAATTAGACATCAATTAATTTCCCACCATTTTGTACAGTTGTTTTGGAATACAGTAGCCTCAAATCTGAAAGGGGGATTTATAAATTTGCAGCCACGTTAATTTAGAATAAGAAAGTTAATTGCTTTTTCTTGTGTAGAGTGAGTGCCACCCTCTGCACTTAAAACCTTGATTGCAATAACTCGTTAAGGGTCTGTAGTTGTCCTGGTACAGGGTTAAATTTCTGCCTACTACCCAACTTACCCTTATTTCTAGTGGCAGTCCATATTTCCCACTTCTTTTGCTGTTGGCCTACCAAGCAGAACCTATCTGTTGTATGAATTTATTTGTAAGGTTTCCTGAATATGCATGAAATAATTACCACTGGACATTAAACAAGCAACAATCAATCAAATCTTAAATTTGTTCTAGCAGATGTCAAAAATCACAGAAATTATTTAAGTTTTTTTTATCTATTCATTGACTAAGTATGCATAAAGAACATTAATTCATATATATATATAAATATATATAATTTGTCTCAAATTTAGCCCAAAAATGTTAGATCTTCAAATTTGCGTTAGCAAATTTTCATTCTTCCGTCAGCAAGATTCAATCCTTTGCTTCTGTGACATTTTGGCAACACCGCCTGCACCATGTCCAGTGCCCTAGACCACTCGACCACCTAGGCTATATAAAAATATAGCTTTCGCTGCACTTCTCTCTTCTCTCCATATAAATACAAATCCAAAGTTATGAATAATTTCAATAGATTGCTCTCATATTTTTTTGAAGTGCCTGGGAACATGTCAAATTGATTGAGCCCATACTTTTATTTTACAGCTAATAACCCATGACAGAGGACTAATAGAAGTTGGAGCAGATATTTATTACAAGATAACATCAGTGGAGAGATACATTACTGGTATACAAGACATGAATCATTCACTCAGGATACTTGTTCAATCGTCACTGAAAAATAATTTTGTTCAGAAAACACTGCATGACATTGAAACTGATAAATTAGGTATTACTGGTGAAATTTTGGTAAGTTTATTATTTTTTTTTATTGTGAAACTGGTTATATTTTCATTTTTCAGCACTAGATAACAAATTTGAAAAGACTGTATAAATTTCATTTTTATTTTCAATAACATAAAAGAGCCAAAAAATGACATAATGAAATATTGTGACAAGGGAGATAATTTAAATATGCCATAGATTGATACTGAAATAAGGGAGACAATTTAAATTACTAGCCACTGAAGTTGTCTAAATCAGCTGATTTTAAAAAACAAAACCTTTTTATTGGTTATTATAAACCCAAACCATGTAAATATTTGAAAGTTAAAATTTTGTATGACCAGAATACATAAATATGCTATTTCATTAACAAAGATTTTTTTTTATAATTTGAACAGCAGATAATTATTGGGGGGAAAAAAAAATTCAAATTTTCAAAATGATGAGATGTAATATTTTCAACAATCATATAAATTAAATGGTAAGTCATAGTATTTTAAAGTTTAAGGAATTCATGTCGTTTTTTTAATAGATATGAACTACATCTTAGAATCAATAACCTTAACTTTATATTTTTTTATCTTAGGAAGGAAGCAATAAAACTTGTAAAAACTGGGGAGTTGTTATTCATGAGGTCAGAATGTAAGTGTTTGTCAAAGTTATACATAAAATAAGATTGTATGTTTTATTGCAAAATTAGTAAAATTGAATATCTGTGGTGGCATAACCAAAACAATATTTGACTAATATCAACATCTTTGACAAAACATTTATTTTGAACAGGTCTTTGCTCATAGTGAAATGTTCATGGAAAGATCTTACATGTATGATAGAAAAGAAAACATTATAAGACCAAATTCAAATATTTTACTATTGACATCTGACAGACTAATTATATTTTTTAAACAAATGAACATAGATTATTTATTAGATTTTCTAATTCATGTGTCCAAAAATTTTCCTTGCAATTCTTTCTCCTTTGGAGATGTGACATATCATTTATGCTAAGCTTACAAATAATATCATTTTGTTATAATTGTAGTAAATAAACCATTTCTTAGACATTTTGGCCTTCTTCGGTTTCTTTGTTATCTTTCTAGTCATGCATGTTTATCAAGAAACAAAAAATCATGTTTTGAATTTTATTTCCAGATCACCTATTAAAGTATTAAAGAGGCCAGAAAACAATTCAGGAATGCCTGCTGGTCTTCCACAAACTTTCCAACAGCTAGCCTCAGCATTTCTTCAGGCTTCAGCCAGTAAGTTTTAGGTTCCTTTTATACTTCAAAATAATATACAGTACCATAGAAATGTTTTTTTTTTTAATTTGAGTAAATAGGTACCAGAATACATCAATGAATCAAAAACCTAATGAAAGAGATCTATAGGTCAACATATAGTCTTCAACAATAGACAGGTGTCTATAAAATGTCCAAATGTGCTTTGATCATTATGAAATCAAAGTGATTAATTTTTTTAATGAAACATTATTATGAACATAGCTAGATTATTTACCTTGTCTGTTTGTATTGGTATAATGGCCAATGAGACAGCTAAACACTAATGATAAAAGAGTAAGAACAAATACTGCGTATTAAGTGTGTTTTTGCTAGCTGAAGCCCGACTCCAGGTGCGGGATTTTCTCAGTGCATTGAAGACCCATTGATGGCCTTGCTCTTTGGTCAGGTTGTTGTCTCTTTGACACATTCCCCGTTTCCATTTTCAATTCTATTGATATAAATATAAGGAGATGTGGTTTGATTACAAATAAGAAAACTATCGACCATAGGACTAGGATGTAAACAACGACAGGTCATGGCCATCAACAATGAGCAAAACCCATACCATTTAGTAAACTGTTAAAGGTCCTAGGATACCAAAATGTGAAACAATTCAAAAGAGGAAACCAACGCCGTGTTTTCAGCTAATAATATAAAGCAAAAAAAAGAAACAATATGACGAGAGGGCAACAAACAACAACCACTGGACTACATGCTTCCATAGCGCTTTGTTGTCTAGATGGAATCATTTCACTCTAAATTATCCCTGCAGGTGGAGATGCAACAAATGGGCCATTACCCATAATTCCAGAGGCTGTGACAGTACTTCCTGACAGTGGGGCAGCTGGGGTTGATGATGCTTTACTCCACAATATCCCCACCCCCAGAGAATTTATAGGACTCATCAAAACCGTGCTATCAGAATCTATGGTCAGAAGTGTAGGCTCTGTATATATGTTCCAGCTCAGTGGCCAGGATGGTGGTGTCTTTTATTTAGATTTGAAAAATGGTGAGATTATTTTTTTTTTTAAGAATATCACAAAAATGACAAATGTCAAGTCAGCATCAAACAAGCTTTTGTAAATTGTATATGTGAAGAGAAAAACAATTTTATAGATCAATACAGTTTTATTTAGTTATTTTTGAAAATACTGTCAAATCTCCTTATGCCAAAAATTGTTGTTTAGAAAACTATAATTAATTGAGGTATTTGTCAATCGTAATTGTTATATGTATTTTTACCTTTAACTAGTAAGTTGATTTGAAATTTTGGTTTACTTGTATATATTTAAAATTCTTATAAAGAAAAACTTATGTAGATTAACCGAATGTGTCAGATTCAAAGAAAAATCTAAATTTTGTTTACGTTTTTAGTTATGGATTCCTATTTAAGACAAATACTCTTTACTTTTGTCAAAATGTAATGTAACTTCAGAAGATTTTTGCATGCATTTATGATTGCTATTGCTAAATATTAAATGTGCACACATGTGAGATAAATTATTGCCATTTCATGAATTACTGTATTAAGATAGTGCCATCAAAATTAAGTTGCAGGTTAACATTTTTGCAACATCTATACTGTCACATTTTCCTAATAACAAAAACATTACAAACATTTCTGAATCTACAATACTTATTTAAATATAGCAAGAAATGGGACGAACTGATATTTTCTTCAATTTTTTTTATGTAGGTGAAGGAGATGCTGGAGAAGGTCTTCCACCTAACGGGGAACCAGACACTACTCTAACATTAACAGTACCAGATATGCAGAGCATGTTCATTGGACAATTAAAACCATTGCAGGCATACATGAGTGGCCGTCTCAAAGTGGCAGGAGATCTTTCTGCTGCAACACAGTTAGGAGATGTTATCAAAACTGTGATGAAAAAAGTAAAAGAAGATAGAAAAGATACTTTTATAGTTTAATGACGGGGAGATATTGTTTATCTGTGATACCATGACAATCAACATAGCAATGATGAACCTCAGACACTTGGTTCAATATATAATGAGGGCAAACCATTTGTGTGAGGATTGAGTTCGATCCTGATTTCTATACCAGAAAATAATAAGAGTTGTATAACTTGTCTGAACCAAAGTATCTATTGTGAACTAATACCATCACTTGGCATTGGTTTTCTTTCATCAATTGTCTGTAATAAACAAACTTAAAATATCATTTTACAAACCATTCGGCCAATTGTAACCTCATCTGAAGGGTTCTGCTTTAAGAGTATGTCCTACAAGGCCACTGTTACTACAAATAGAATATATGTGGCAGGTATGAAATCAACTAAATCCTATTAGAAATTCTCAAACTACTTTAAAATACTTCCAAATTTGGAGCCATAGTACATTTATGAGCTCCATTCTACTTACTTTCTTCCAAAAATAGTAAAATTTTTCTAACCTTTCAAAAATAATTTGATTTATTAAGAAAAAAAAAAAGAAGAGTAGGATGACTCTATATTTTGTTATTTCCCTGTTTCATCATCAACAATTAATAATTGAAATATTTTTTACCTAAAAGGCCATGTTTATATACAGTTTTGGATAAAACTATATATTATTAGTCTTATGCAAGCAGATATTTGACTCACATCTCTGTGTATAAGACATCTTGTGGCAAAATGTCTTATTAATTAATTACTCATACCTTTTACAAATGTTCAAAATGTGTAAATATCAAGATAAGGTAGTTTTGGTAGTTATTGATGTTCTCCTGTAATGCAATAAGTTTGAATGTCTAAAGTAAGGACAATATTCAATTATATTCCAACACTAATACCTGACAGACTATTGTCTGGTTAAACTTGAAGTTTATAATATTTTTATTTTATATATTTCCAATATTTAATGTTTTTGGGAATGTTTTTGCAGATTTTGGGCTGATATATGTTATGAAATGATATTTTTGTGATTATAGATAATTAATAACAGTATATAAACTTTCTGTTAATTACTTTAATAGTGTACCTATGTTTGAGCTTGATATGGCCATTTGCCTCATTATTCCACATGGTCTCCAGATGCACTAGTTGACATTTGTTCAAGTTTCAAAATAAAACCATGAATCTTATGTGATCGTTATGTACCGGTACTTTAAACTGTAGTTCTATAAATTGTACTGTATACAAATAAATTTCTATTGTTAATGGATTGTTTTGCACAATTTATATTTGTTTGTGGTTTAATATTGCATTGTGATATATATATATTTTGGTCTGTATGTAGTTTTGAAAGTAATTTACTGTATGCAATGTTAATATTTCTTATCTTTCTTTACATCTTTTTGAAGGATGTTAGCTGTTACCATTTCCAACATTTCTTATTATTTTGTAACCTCCCCCCCCCCCCCTCAGTTTATAACTAATGCATTTATTGTCTTACTTTTTGAAAAAAAATCTGACATGGACAAAAATGCTAACAATGTCAAGATCTTCATATTTCCACCAAAATTATAAAATACTCATTATACTAGTTAACGTTATTGCCCTTAAATTAAAGATGAATTTTGACAAATTTATGAGTTTTTCCCCTATTATCTTGAAAAATCTCATTATAGGAGTAATTGCCCTTAAAGGCGGATTTTTCTTTCTTATTTTCTAGGTTTTGCCTATGATCTCAAAAAATTATAATAGATAGGTAGAAATGATAATTTTTTAACAAATATTCCTGTTATTACCAATTGTTTTAATTTTTTAACAGGTGAGTGATTCAGGCTCTTTGGAGCCTTCTTTCCTGTTCTGTTACTACATATTTAACAACATCACAATTTCAAAATAATTGCCCTGATTGATGTTATAAAACTTTCTGAAAAAGTTAAACACCACAAATGATGCATTTTCCCACTCTGAAATGCCAATATTGGTCACTGCAGCTCATTCAATTATGAAAAAGTTAAGAGTTCATGAAATATTATACATTATCTGTCTAAGCAATGCAAACTATTCTGTTCATAAATCATTGTTAAATTAATTTCCTGGCTCTTATCTTAAACACACAAAACATATTTTTTCGGCTCTTTCAAACTGACTGAAAAGACGGACTATTTCATACCCCAAGCACACCTGTCATCTGTACTATTTCTTAAAAAAAATCTAGCTTAAAACAATGTTGAATAGTTGATGATAAAATACTAATTTATTGAACTTTCTCAATTTTTAGGATTGTTTCATTATGTAGTTCTCATTTTTTTTTTTTTATTTATACAATTTTTGTTGAAACAATAATGTTGTTTTACTGTGCCATATAAAAATAAACCCAAAAAACTGTTGTCTGTCTAAATAAAAGCCTATTTTAAGTGATTGATTTTCTCTGTTTCAAACACTTTTGGACTGTCAGATCAACTTGTCTTTTTCTTGCAGGCAAATCCCTTTTTATTATCTTGTAGGATGTTTTTAGTCTTTTTTAAGTTATTTAATGTTTTTTATTTTTTTATTTTTTAATAAATAAAATTTATTTTTCATTGTATTTCAGTGTTCAAATTACAGGCATTTGTCATTAAGAAGTCCCATGTGGTTGTTGCATTTGAAATATTTTCTACTAATCAAAGAGCTGAAAGCTCTGAGGAAAAATGACACCACTGTCTCTACTACTGTGATATTTTTTATGCAAGTCTTGATTTTCACATACAGTAATTAGTTTAACATTCCAACATGTCTCGTAAGCATATAATTGATATTCGTATATGTGTGTGTTATGTGAAGATGACAACTGGCTGTTTTTTTAGTACAAATATATAGGTCAAGACTACCTGAATGATCTACAGTATCCAATGACTACTGGCTGTTTTTTTCTATAAATAAATAGGTCAAGACTACCACAATGATCTACAATATCCAATGACTACTGGCGGTTCTTTTGTACTAATAAATAGGTCAAGACTATTTGAATGATCTACAATATCCAATGACTACTGGCTGTTCTTTTGTACATATAAATAAAGACTACCTGAATGATCTAAAGTATTCTAAGTAATGTGATTTTTGTCTTGCAATTACATTTTTCTAAATCAAGAATATAGACTACTAGCATCCTTTTCAAACCAAATGATTATGAAGAGCCTGTTGTTATCAAGCTCTTATACCCCACATACTCATTAAATAAGTTACTAGTGACCTAGTTATTTCTGTTACTTGAAGCAAATTATATTTCTGTAGATTTAGACAATAGTATAATATTGTTTTACTAGTTTTATTTCACCTTGAAGACAAATAGGGAAACTCCTTTGATTTTTTATTTCATGTCAGTCAGGTCGCTTTATATGAAACTTGAAACCACTTCTCTGCCATATTGTTATTTTATAACAACTCTGCCCTTGACCATGTTGACCCATGTAATTGATATTCATTCTTTAACCATATATCATAGTCAGTTAGTTTTTGATTTTGCACTCCCACACCACCTTTCAGGTCAAATGTCTGTCTCCATTTAAGTTAATGACATTGAACAATCGTGGTATTAAACACAATTTCAATAGTGATAATGCTGTTCTAGTAGGTCACCATATATTTAACTTGGGTAGCATTCCAGTTATTGAAATTTGTGTCAGATTAGAACAATGATCTAGACCTTTAGGAATGGATCTTACAATTTAATATGGAGCCATAGTATGGGACTCCTACACGGTAACAAAAAAAACAAGCTTGAAAAGATACCTCAAGCGGCAAAATCTATCATCAGAAATTACAAGTCAAGAGAGGATGGACGGGATACGTCTCTAAAATGCTTGCCTAACTGGAACTACAACAAGATCTCCAGACAAGACGAACAAGGAGTTGAAGCTAGAAGTTAATATTTATGTAAAAAGTAGTTGAGGGGCTGATTCCCGCTATTGAACCATACTGTCATTCTAAAATATTATTGCGTAAGGATTTCTGTATTGTCCTTGTTATTGGTCCATGTCTTGGTGTATTGGTCTGAGGCGAAGCCGAAGGCCAATACTGCTGGCCGGTATCGGGTCCTTTCGCGCCCAATACACGTTCGCACCCCACACGTTCGCCCCCTAGGTCCGTTCGCACCCTTCACGTTCGCACCCTTTTTTTTTATTCAAAAACCTGATAAATTTTTAGATGTTTTGTAGATGTTTATATCAAAATATTTTGATTACTGCTAATTGGTATTTATTCACAGCCTAATTTGGTGTTATTATTGAGTGTTTGAAAATCATGATTGTTGTCATGGTTGTTTTAACATGCGTTGATGTAAATACTGCATGTATTTAGCTTGGTATCATTATGAGTAAAACTTTGAAGATTTTAAATAAAAAACATGAAAAATAATTGTTTTTAACTGCTTGGTTCCTTTGATCTCATGTGTGTCAGAATCTCACTTTATTCATAAACAATGAAAAAAACTATTTTTAGCAATACACTATCCAAACATGATTAAAAATTATTCAACACAAAAATAAAATACTGGTCGTCAGAATCTCACTTTATTTAAAAACAATAAAAAAATGTTTATAACAATATATTTACCATGACACAAAAAAAACCTTGTCAGAATCTCACTTTATTTAGAAACAATGAAAAAATATATATTTATAGCAATACACTTACCAAAACTCGTTTACAAATTATTAAAAACAAAACCAATAAAAAATGGGCGCAAACGGACTTTGGGTGCGAACGTGTAGGGTGCGAAAGTGAAAGGGGGGCGAACGTGCATGGGGGCGAACGTGATTGGGCGCGAACGGACCCGGATTCCTGCTGGCCGAGGACCAACAATAAGGCCAATACAGAAATACATGTAATAGTATCTTTATTAATTATTAAACTACAGTGTTACAATATTTTTGTATTTCATTTCACAAGAGATAAACATTTTTACCTTGAAGTGGAACTATCCCGGACCTTAAGATCATCTCAGTCCTATCATCACACTCATCTTCCAAAAGTCAATTAACACTCATAAAATACCTACAGACTGGAAACATGCAAATGTCTGTCCTGCATTCAAAAAAGGCGACAAAAACAATGCCATAAATTACAGGCCAATTTCACTAACATGTATACTTTGCAAAATTATGGAGCATATCATAGCTAGTCAAATAATGGAACATCTCGAAAAAAACAATATTTTATATGATTTACAACATGGTTTCCGATCAAAACGCTCTTGTGAGACACAATTACTATCTTTCATACAGGACCTTGCAAGAGACAACAATAACAACATACAAACTGATGTCGTTGTGATGGACTTTGCCAAAGCTTTTGACAAAGTCCCTCACAAAAGGTTACTGTACAAATTAAAATACTACGGCATAGAAAATAATACCTTGGAATGGATTGGTGATTTTTTACACCATCGTACACAGACAGTCATGCTAGATGGAGAACAATCAGAAAAAATTGGGGTAACATCTAGAGTGCCACAGGGCACTGTCCTTGGCCCAATCTTATTCCTCATTTACATAAATGATTTCCCAGAATATTTACAACACAGCACCTTAAGGTTATTTGCCGATGACAGCATCATCTATAGAAACATCAAAAACATAGATGATGCATCCAAACTACAACATGATTTAAATTCAGCGGCACAATGGGAAAAAGACTGGTTAATGTCATTTCACCCAGACAAATGCTCCATACTTAGAATTACACAAAAAAAGAAACCAGTCAACCATGACTACATCCTTCATGGTCACATTCTCCAAACTGAAACAGCTACAAAATATTTAGGCATAACCATCCAATCTGATCTCAAATGGAATAAACACATAAATAATATAACAGCTAATGCAAATCCACAACTTAATTTCCTAAAACGTAACCTTAAAGTTTCATCCAAACAAATTAAAGAAAGGGCATACATGTCATTAGTAAGACCTAAGCTTGAGTACAGCTCTTGCGTCTGGGACCCTCACAACAAAAACCAAATCAATCAAATTGAGATGGTCCAACGAAGAGCTGCTCGCTATACATGTAATAGATATCACAATACCAGCTCAGTCTCAAATATGCTTGATCACTTACAGTGGCCTACATTAGAATTGAGACGTATACAAACAAGACTAGTGGTATTCTATAAGATCATACATCAACACATAGCAATCTACCCTAAAGATCTTCTCGTTAAATCAGACAGTAGAACAAGATATAAACATACCAACCACTTTAAACAAATTCAAACAAATAAAGATTCTTACAAGTTCTCATTTTATCCACATACAATAGTACAATGGAACCTACTTCCTACACCAGCAATCCTTTGTACAACAGTCGAAGGCTTCAAAGAGCAGATTTCTATATCTGCTCTTTCACAAATATTCTAAAAACTGCATAACATGTACATAGTTTTACCATGAAATATACATAGGATAACAATCCACAAAAAAATTTATTAAATCACTGTTATATTTTTACTTCATTTTCTATGCACCAATGCAATGTAACGTAAAATTACTGAAAATTTATTTCTTTTAAATTGTAAATAAGCCACGCATGCAACGGCACGTAATAGTCAAAGTTGTGACTGAGTGCGGAAATATGAAGATAGATAGATATCCAAATCTCAGTTTCTTTTTATAAGATGCAATATCTAATGATTTGGTGCCGTTTCCATGTATCTTCAGCCTTTTCTCATCTGATGAATTTTTCTACCCTTTCCAGTCACTATAAAGTGTTACAACTTTAATTTAGACACAACACATAAATAGTAATTGGAAAGGTACTGCCATTGCATGTGTAATGCAAATTTAAATTTTAAAAAAAATAATGCAAGAGTTGAAATTGATACAACTATCCATAAACCAATTGACCAAAGAACGAAGATTTGCGCAATTACAGAATGCATATGCCTGTTTCGGGTTTAAAAATAAAAGACCGTTTACAAAACATGAGAAGCGAAAGTGAACAGTAAAAATCGATTTGTACCATCGACATGATGAAATTATGAGGTCGTCATGAAATGAACTTTGTGATAATTTACTCGTTCCCCAAACCTGAAATAATTCCATCGTCTACTTTCAAAATGCTTTTCAAACGAATGGGACCGTCTTTAACCTAAAATATATGCCATACTGAACGTTTCAGCTTGTTTATGGTGAGTAAATAAAAACTGCGTAGTACAAACAACTGTTTCCTTTCAGTTTGAGTTTATCGTGACTTACGATCTAAAAACTTCAGACGTTCCGAAATCCTGTTTTGGCCAGATCAGAACTCGGCCAATACGGAAAATAATCTGTATTGGCCGAGTTGACATCTTATATTGCATATGCAGTTTTCATCATATTAAGTACAATAACAGTGTAGTTAATTAATAATGATACAGTTACAGACTCTGCTGCTATAACTTTGTAAACAAAGATTCATACGCACCGCGTGCGTATAACCGTATTACTAATTTCCGATTATTAAAATCTTCGTAAATCTGAATAAAGACCAGTTTCTATCCAATGGATATCAAAATGATTCCGATTATTACTTTTTTAATGATTGTAAAGTTGAAATGGCATGAAAGGC